TTCTCCCTCTCCCTCTTCTTCTTCCTCTCTCTCTCTCCCCCTCTCCCTCTTCTTCTCCCTCTCTCTCTCTCCTCCTCTCCCTCTTCTTCTTCCTCTCTCTCTCTCTCTCTCTCCCCCTCTCCCTCTTCTTCTCCCTCTCTCTCTCTCCTCCTCTCCCTCTCTCCCTCTCTCCCTCCCTCCCTCCCTCCCTCTCTCTCTCGCTCCCTCTTTCCTTCTCCCTCTTCTTCTCTCTCTCTCTCGCTCCCTCTTCTTCTCTCTCTCCCTCTCTCTCTCTCCCTCTCTCCCATTCTACCACTATCCCTCTCCTTCTTCTTCTCCCTCTCTCTCTCTCTTTATATAATATAGTGTAGCTGTCAGTTAAACAATGTTATTGCAAACCCATTTAAAGTTTTTTTATTGACGATTACCGCAAGTATACAGTATATCATGACTGAAAGTTGTCGAGAGTCATGTTTTGGGCTGATGTCAGATACGCCAAGCCACGCCAAGCCACGCCAAGCCACGCCAAGCCACGCCACGCCATGCCACGCCACGCCACGCCACGCCACGCCACGCCACGCTTCCCCTAAAGTGACAGGATATCCAAAAACTTTCATATGTTTTAATTCAATTCACTGTATTCTTGTGTCACAGTAGTTACCTCAGAGGACTTTACTACTGTCCCAAGTGTGCGCTGCAACACTGACATTTCCCCTGTGGGATGAATAAAGGTCCTCCGCTTCCTCGCAGCAGGACGATCATTGATACAACCACCACCTCGCTATGATTCAGCATTGATCCATATTTCAGCTTTTCTCTCTAGGGCAGATGTTCTGATCCGTTTTAATATCAGCTCATTCTGTTTAGTCTGAAACACTTAAACCTCACAGAGACACAGCAGCTCTCTGTCTTTGTAGAGATTCTGAAGTCTCTGGGGCGGGAGTCTGGGTGGGAACAGTCTGTGGGTTCTCGTGGAGCTCAGCGGGAGCCGTCTCCTGCTGCAGCCGTGTCCTCTCCGCCTCAGGGAGAAAGTCACAAAACAAGAATTATTTATACTCTGTTTCCAGCAGAGAATACTTAAGGAGCTCCTCATGAATAAACCATGCTCCAGTTGTCCCCAACACACGCCTGGGAACCGCGTTATTTCACTAATATCGTGTGATTATAGTATTCTCGGGTCGGAACAGGCCTTTCTGGGATCGTGTCTTTAATTCAGACAGAAGACATGTTTTACTGTTGATGGTAGAGACTTACAGAATCCAAGAGATATTCTACTGGAGGAATCCTGGACCGTCCAATCGGCAGCTGCCAACGTGCGAAAACGTGTAGTAAAAGTACTGCCTCCTGCATATTGTTAGAATGGGTTTAACTTTTACCACAGTTGCTTCAAAGTGTCATGAATTATCCAAACATATTCTCCCTGTGTCTGCGGAGGTTTGCTCCGGGTGCTCCATTTTCCCCTACCACTAATGTGTGTGTCATTTACAAGACTGAGAAAGATTACACTGAGATTGAGGTTTGGGATCAGGATGAGACCGAGACATTAGCCTGGACAAAAACAAGAATGAAGGTGTTAAGGCTGTAGATCCAGGACTGAGGCTGTAGACCCAGGACTGAGGCTGTAGACCCAGGACTGAGGCTGTAGACCCAGGACTGAGGCTGTAGACCCAGGACTGAGGCTGTAGACCCAGGACTGAGGCTGTAGACCCAGGACTGAGGCTGTAGACCCAGGACTGAGGCTGTAGACCCAGGACTGAGGCTGTAGACCCAGGACTGAGGCTGTAGACCCAGGACTGAGGCCGTAGACCCAGGACTGAGGCCCAGTAGACCCAGGACTGAAGCTGTAGACCCAGGACTGAGGCTGTAGATCCAGGACTGAGGCTGTAGACCCAGGACTGAGGCCGTAGACCCAGGACTGAGGCCGTAGACCCAGGACTGAAGCCGTAGACCCAGGACTGAGGCTGTAGATCCAGGACTGAGGCCGTAGACCCAGGACTGAGGCTGTAGACCCAGGACTGAGGCTGTAGACCCAGGACTGAGGCTGTAGACCCAGGACTGAGGCTGTAGACCCAGGACTGAGGCTGTAGATCCAGGACTGAGGCTGTAGACCCAGGACTGAGGCTGTAGACCCAGGACTGAGGCCGTAGACCCAGGACTGAGGCTGTAGACCCAGGACTGAGGCTGTAGACCCAGGACTGAGGCTGTAGACCCAGGACTGAGGCCGTAGACCCAGGACTGAGGCCGTAGACCCAGGACTGAAGCTGTAGACCCAGGACTGAGGCTGTAGATCCAGGACTGAGGCTGTAGACCCAGGACTGAGGCCGTAGACCCAGGACTGAGGCCGTAGACCCAGGACTGAAGCCGTAGACCCAGGACTGAGGCTGTAGATCCAGGACTGAGGCCGTAGACCCAGGACTGAGGCTGTAGACCCAGGACTGAGGCTGTAGACCCAGGACTGAGGCTGTAGACCCAGGACTGAGGCTGTAGACCCAGGACTGAGGCTGTAGATCCAGGACTGAGGCTGTAGACCCAGGACTGAGGCCGTAGATCCAGGACTGAGGCTGTTTGGCGAAGAATGCAATAGTAAAGTATTCTGGTCTGGTTCTATCAAGAAACTGAAGCCGGAGCAAGAGGAATGTTTAGCAAATGTAATCTCTGGCAAAGATTGGGGCTCTACTCCCCACGGGCTCCGTTAGCGGTAAATGAGATGGCTAAAGCTAGGCTAAATGCTAAAGCTAGGCTAAATGCTAAATGCTAACAACTCACCCAGGCTCATTATATACAGTACGTCACGGTAAACTCAGATCCAATGGTTTCTATCTGCAAAAGTAGTTAGCCCCTCCCACCTGTTCACGGAGTCAATGGAGCACCCTCAGACCTTAGTACAAATGTAATGTGTACTATGGTGTGGTACGACCAGGCTGGACATTGTCACTGTCTGATATTACACATTGCTGGTATCGTAACCATCAGCTCCGTCTCATTAAATCCCCTCTCTGTGGTGCCAAACATTCTCTGGTGGTTTTTCTCCGTCTAAAGTTGCTCCGTCTTGTGTTAATAAAACGGAATGAATGCCGGGCTCGTCCTTATCATTATGATGCTAATACAAGACCCCGGCGTCTCCCTGCGCTGTGTCTTATTTTGTGGGTGGAAAGCTTCATTTGCATTTAGTGTTTGAGTTTGTTGTGCATTTCATTGACTTTGAGGCGGAGACGAGCTGTCAATCACGTGTGCTCCTGCTCCCACTCTGCCCACGCACTGCACAATGCTTCACTTAACCCTTTGGATCCTTCCGCTCGGCATCAGTTTCTATTGTTTCTGGTCCTGAGGAATCTGTCTGTTTTTTTACAAAGATAGAAACACGACCCAAGGCGAGGTTTTAGACCACAGGGAGTCGCAAAGTTTACAAAACAAGAAACATAATAATCTGTTTCTGACTCGGATTTACAGAAAGCAGCAAGGATTAAAGCTGCATATGTCCAGCAGGAGGCCGTCCCTGTGCTCCTCAGAGTCCCAGCAGGAGGCCGTCCCTGTGGTCCTCAGAGTCCCAGCAGGAGGCCGGTCCCTGTGGTCCTCCGAGTCCCAGCAGGAGGCCGGTCCCTGTGGTCCTCCGAGTCCCAGCAGGAGGCCGGTCCCTGTGGTCCTCCGAGTCCCAGCAGGAGGCCGGTCCCTGTGGTCCTCCGAGTCCCAGCAGGAGGCCGGTCCCTGTGGTCCTCCGAGTCCCAGCAGGAGGCCGGTCCCTGTGGTCCTCCGAGTCCCAGCAGGAGGCCGGTCCCTGTGGTCCTCCGAGTCCCAGCAGGAGGCCGGTCCCTGTGGTCCTCCGAGTCCCAGCAGGAGGCCGGTCCCTGTGGTCCTCCGAGTCCCAGCAGGAGGCCGGTCCCTGTGGTCCTCATGGTACCAGCAGGAGGCCGGTCCCTGTGCTTCTCCGAGTCCCAGCAGGAGGCCGGTCCCTGTGCTTCTCCGAGTCCCAGCAGGAGGCCGGTCCCTGTGCTTCTCCGAGTCCCAGCAGGAGGCCGGACCCTGTGCTTCTCCGAGTCCCAGCAGGAGGCCGGTCCCTGTGCTTCTCCGAGTCCCAGCAGGAGGCCGGTCCCTGTGCTCCTCCGAGTCCCAGCAGGAGGCCGGTCCCTGTGCTCCTCCGAGTCCCAGCAGGAGGCCGGTCCCTGTGCTCCTCCGAGTCCCAGCAGGAGGCCGGTCCCTGTGCTCCTCCGAGTCCCAGCAGGAGGCCGGTCCCTGTGCTCCTCCGAGTCCCAGCAGGAGGCCGGTCCCTGTGCTCCTCCGAGTCCCAGCAGGAGGCTGGTCCCTGTGCTCCTCCGAGTCCCAGCAGGAGGCCGGTCCCTGTGCTCCTCCGAGTCCCAGCAGGAGGCCGGTCCCTGTGCTCCTCCGAGTCCCAGCAGGAGGCCGGTCCCTGTGCTCCTCCGAGTCCCAGCAGGAGGCCGGTCCCTGTGCTCCTCCGAGTCCCAGCAGGAGGCCGGTCCCTGTGCTCCTCCGAGTCCCAGCAGGAGGCCGGTCCCTGTGCTCCTCCGAGTCCCAGCAGGAGGCCGGTCCCTGTGCTCCTCCGAGTCCCAGCAGGAGGCCGGTCCCTGTGCTCCTCCGAGTCCCAGCAGGAGGCCCGTCCCTGTGCTCCTCCGAGTCCCAGCAGGAGGCCGGTCCCTGTGCTCCTCCGAGTCCCAGCAGGAGGCCGGTCCCTGTGCTCCTCCAAGTCCCAGCAGGAGGCCAGTCCCTGTGCTCTATACAATTAAACTCACCCTTGTTTTAATTGGAACTAGAAGTCAGGACTAAACATGAGGAGGCAGCGTTTCAGATTTATGGAGCTAAAGTCTTCCTGAAAATGTGAGACAGGCTTTTTCTCTGACAAGGTTAAAAACAGTTAAAAACAGTTAAAACATCCAGCACATGTTTCCATCTGGTTCAGCCCTTTGAGAGTGTGAACTGTGCTGTACAGAGCACTGTGTCACCTTGGCTTCTCTTGATCAGTATTTCACTTTTCAGTTCACTTGATGATAGACTGAACAGGGAGATAACTAAGGTTGTGCAGAGGACTGTGCAGAGGACTGTGCAGAGGACTGTGCAGAGGACTGTGCAGAGGACTGTGCAGAGGACTGTGCAGAGGACTGTGCAGAGGGCTGTGCAGAGGGCTGTGCAGAGGGCTGTGCAGAGGGCTGTGCAGAGGACTGTGCAGAGGACTGTGCAGAGGTCTGTGCAGAGGACTGTGCAGAGGACTGTGCAGAGGACTGTGCAGAGGACTGTGCAGAGGACTGTGCAGAGGGCTGTGCAGAGGGCTGTGCAGAGGGCTGTGCAGAGGGCTGTGCAGAGGGCTGTGCAGAGGGCTGTGCAGAGGGCTGTGCAGAGGGCTGTGCAGAGGACTGTGCAGAGGACTGTGCAGAGGACTGTGCAGAGGACTGTGCAGAGGACTGTGCAGAGGACTGTGCAGAGGGTCTGTGCAGAGGTCTGTGCAGAGGGCTGTGCAGAGGGCTGTGCAGAGGGCTGTGCAGAGGACTGTGCAGAGGACTGTGCAGAGGACTGTGCAGAGGGCTGTGCAGAGGGCTGTGCAGAGGGCTGTGCAGAGGGCTGTGCAGAGGACTGTGCAGAGGGCTGTGCAGAGGGCTGTGCAGAGGGCTGTGCAGAGGGCTGTGCAGAGGGCTGTGCAGAGGACTGTGCAGAGGACTGTGCAGAGGACTGTGCAGAGGGCTGTGCAGAGGGCTGTGCAGAGGGCTGTGCAGAGGACTGTGCAGAGGGCTGTGCAGAGGGCTGTGCAGAGGGCTGTGCAGAGGGCTGTGCAGAGGGCTGTGCAGAGGGCTGTGCAGAGGACTGTGCAGAGGGCTGTGCAGAGGGCTGTGCAGAGGGCTGTGCAGAGGGCTGTGCAGAGGGCTGTGCAGAGGGCTGTGCAGAGGACTGTGCAGAGGACTGTGCAGAGGACTGTGCAGAGGACTGTGCAGAGGACTGTGCAGAGGACTGTGCAGAGGGCTGTGCAGAGGGCTGTGCAGAGGGCTGTGCAGAGGGCTGTGCAGAGGGCTGTGCAGAGGACTGTGCAGAGGACTGTGCAGAGGACTGTGCAGAGGACTGTGCAGAGGACTGTGCAGAGGACTGTGCAGAGGACTGTGTAGAGGTCTGTGCAGAGGTCTGTGCAGAGGGCTGTGCAGAGGGCTGTGCAGAGGGCTGTGCAGAGGACTGTGCAGAGGGCTGTGCAGAGGGCTGTGCAGAGGGCTGTGCAGAGGGCTGTGCAGAGGGCTGTGCAGAGGGCTGTGCAGAGGACTGTGCAGAGGGCTGTGCAGAGGACTGTGCAGAGGACTGTGCAGAGGACTGTGCAGAGGACTGTGCAGAGGACTGTGCAGAGGACTGTGCAGAGGACTGTGCAGAGGACTGTGCAGAGGACTGTGCAGAGGACTGTGCAGAGGACTGTGCAGAGGACTGTGCAGAGGACTGTGCAGCGGGAACACAACAGGATCTATCGCTTTAGTTTGAGCGAGACTAAAGGATTCAATTCTGGATTTTGTGGCGAGTGATTGATTTTTCCAGAGTCTGTATGTTCTGCAGTCTACAGCTGCAGCACACTGCTTAAATGTCACGTCAGAGAGTCAAGTCATAATGTGTGTGTGTCTGTGTGTGTGTCTGTGTGTGTGTCCGTGTGTGTCTGTCTGTGTGTGTGTGTGTCTGTGTGTCTGCGTGTGTGTCTCTCTCTCTCTCTGTCTGTGTGTGTGTCTCTCTGTGTGTGTCTCTCTGTGTGTGCGTCTCTCTCTCTGTCTCTCTCTCTCTCTCTCTCACTCTCTGTCTGTGTGTGTGTCTGTCTCTCTCTCACTCTCTGTGTGTGCGTCTCTCTCTGTCTCTCTCTCTCTCTCTCTCACTCTCTGTCTGTGTGTCTCTCTCTCACTCTCTGTCTGTGTGTGTGTCTGTCTCTCTCTCACTCTCTGTGTGTGTGTGTCTCTCTCTCTGTCTGTGTGTGTGTCTCTCTCTCTCTCACTCTCTGTGTGTGTGTCTCTCTCTCTCTGTCTGTGTGTGTGTCTCTCTCTCTCTGTGTGTGTGTCTGTGTGTGTGTGTGTTTCCAGGACTGTGAGTGAGGAGCAGCAGCAGTCGTTCTCCTATGTGGACCAGCTCCCAGTGTCTGAGATCATCCATCAGGTAAAACACCAACATAAGAGATACAGTACCTTCGTCAGTCCCACACTGGAGACATTTCTGGTTTTAAATATGAAACACAAAAGCTAAGCCTAGTATATACACGCGCGGTGTCATCTGGTGTCACCTGGTGTCACCTGGTGTCACATGACCAACCTAAGGATCACAGCAAGACCCTTACGTGGCCACCCGCGCACCCTTTTGTGTGTGATTGTCTGTCTGTGTGTGTGTGTGTGTGTGTGTGTGTTTGGTTTCTCTCTCTCTCTGTGTGTGTGTTTGGCTTCTCTGTGTGTGTGTGTGTGTGTGTTTGGTTTCTCTGTGTGTGTGTGTGTGTGTGTGTGTGTGTGTGTTGCTATGTGTATGTGGATATGGTGTCTGGATGTGTCCGGTTTCTGTGTGTTTGACTTGTGTGTGTTTGTGTGTACTTGTATTTGGTGTGTGTGTGTTTGGTTTCTCTCTATGCGTGTGTGTGTGTTTGGTTTCTCTCTCTGTGTGTGTGTGTGTGTTGCTATGTGTATGTGGATATTGTGTATGGATGTGTCCGGTTTCTGTGTGTTTGACTTGTGTTTGTGTGTACTTGGTGGGTGTGTGTTTGGTTTCTCTTTGTGTGTGTGTACTACTATGTGTCTGGTTTCTGTGTGTGTGGATTTGGTGTGTATGTGTGTTTGGTTTCTCTATGTGTGTGTGTGTGTGTGGTTTCTTTGTGCTTGGCTTGTGTGTCTTTGGCCTTTGTAGTTCTTTGTGCCTCTCTGAAGTGCGTCCTCGCCCGATTTTTTTTTAATTTGGATCCGAGCGGAAAGTTGTGTGCGGCGCTTTGACAGATGTGCCGTTTCCGTGGTTACCGCCGCCACGGGAAAAATCCAAGTTTGTCCCGGAGGTCGTGATGAAAAGCCAGCACAAAAACAAAACATTTGATCTCATTCAGAAGCAACTGTTCTGTTTTAGACCCCGTCGAAATGCTGAACCATGGGAAAGGTGGTCGTGTTGTTTGGACCTGTGTCTGCGATTGACAATACAGGAATGTGTCAGAATAAAGGGAGCCAAAACAGACTTCAGACTTTCAAAATAAGGTAGAGTAGAGTAGAGTAGAGTAGAGTAGAGTAGAGTAGAGTAGAGTAGAGTAGAGTAGAGTAGAGTCTCTCTCGCTGGTTTCTCTCTGATCTCTCTCTCTCTGGTCGCTCTCTCTCTGGTCTCTCTCTCTCTGGTCTCTCTCTCTGATCTCTCTCTCTGGTCTCTCTCTCTCTGGTCTCTCTCTCTGGTCTCTCTCTCTCTGGTCTCTCTCTCTGGTCTCTCTCTCTCTGGTCTCTCTCTCTGGTCTCTCTCTCTCTGCTCTCTCTCTGCTCTCTCTCTCTCTCTGCTCTCTCTCTGGTCTCTCTCTCTCTGGTCTCTCTCTCTCTGCTCTCTCTCGCTGTGGTCTCTCTGTGGTGTCTCTCTGGTCTATCTTGCTGGTCTCTCTGGTCTCTCTCTCTGGTCTCTCTCTCTCTGCTCTCTCTCTCTGGTCTCTCTCTCTGATCTCTCTCTCTCTGCTCTCTCTCTCTCTCTGCTCTCTCTGCTCTCTCTCTCTCTCTGCTCTCTCTCTCTGGTCTCTCTCTGATCTCTCTCTCTGGTCCCTCTCTCTGTGATCTCTCTCTCTCTCTGCTCTCTCTCTCTCTGCTCTCTCTCTCTCTGGTCTCTCTCGCTGTGGTCTCTCTCGCTGTGGTCTCTCTCGCTGTGGTCTCTCTCGCTGTGGTCTCTCTGTGGTGTCTCTCTGGTCTATCTTGCTGGTCTCTCTGATCTCTCTCTCTGGTCTCTCTCTCTGGTCTCTCTCTCTGATCTCTCTCTCTGGTCTCTCTCTCTCTGGTCTCTCTCTCTGGTCTCTCTCTCTCTGGTCTCTCTCTCTGGTCTCTCTCTCTCTGCTCTCTCTCTGGTCTTTCTCTCTGATCTCTCTCTGCTCTCTCTCTCTGGTCTCTCTCTCTCTGGTCTCTCTCTCTCTGCTCTCTCTCGCTGTGGTCTCTCTGTGGTGTCTCTCTGGTCTATCTTGCTGGTCTCTCTGGTCTCTCTCTCTGGTCTCTCTCTCTCTGCTCTCTCTCTCTGGTCTCTCTCTCTGATCTCTCTCTCTCTGCTCTCTCTCTCTCTCTGCTCTCTCTCTCTGGTCTCTCTCTGATCTCTCTCTCTGGTCCCTCTCTCTGTGATCTCTCTCTCTCTCTGGTCTCTCTCTCTCTGCTCTCTCTCTCTCTGGTCTCTCTCGCTGTGGTCTCTCTCGCTGTGGTCTCTCTCGCTGTGGTCTCTCTGTGGTGTCTCTCTGGTCTATCTTGCTGGTCTCTCTGATCTCTCTCTCTGGTCGCTCTCTCTCTGGTCTCTCTCTCTGGTCTCTCTCTCCCTGGTCTCTCTCTCTCTCTCCGGTCTCTCTCTCTGGTCTCTCTCTCTGGTCTCTCTCTCTGGTCTCTCTCTCTGATCTCTCTCTCTGGTCTCTCTCTCCGGTCTCTCTCTCTGGTCTCTCTCTCTCTCTGGTCTCTCTCTCTGGTCTCTCTCTCTGGTCTCTCTCTCTCTGGTCTCTCTCTCTGTGGTCTCTCTGTGGTGTCTCTCTGGTCTATCTTGCTGGTCTCTCTCTCTGGTCTCTCTCTCTGGTCTCTCTCTCTGGTCTCTCTCTCTCTGCTCTCTCTCTCTGATCTCTCTCTCTCTGCTCTCTCTCTCTCTGCTCTCTCTCTCGGGTCTCTCTCTGATCTCTCTCTCTGGTCCCTCTGTGATCTCTCTCTCTCTCTGGTCTCTCTCTCTGTGGTCTCTCTCGCTGTGGTCTCTCTGTGGTGTCTCTCTGGTCTATCTTGCTGGTCTCTCTGATCTCTCTCTCTGGTCGCTCTCTCTCTGGTCTCTCTCTCTGGTTTCTCTCTCCCTGGTCTCTCTCTCTGGTCTCTCTCTCCGGTCTCTCTCTGGTCTCTCTCTCTCTCTGCTCTCTCTCTCTGGTCTCTCTCTCTGGTCTCTCTCTCTCTCTCTGATCTCTCTCTCTCTGCTCTCTCTCTGGTCTCTCTCTCTCTCTGCTCTCTCTCTCTGGTCTCTCTCTGATCTCTCTCTCTGGTCCCTCTCTCTCTGGTCTCTCTCTCTCTCTCTCTGATCGCTCTCTCTCTGCTCTCTCTCTCTGGTCTCTCTCTCTCTCTGCCTTCTCTCTCTGGTCTCTCTCTGATCTATCTCTCTGGTCCCTCTCTCTCTGGTCTCTCTCTCTCTCTGCTCTCTCTCGCTGTGGTCTCTCTGTGGTGTCTCTCTGGTCTATCTTGCTGGTCTCTCTCTCTGGCCTCTCTCTGGCCTCTCTCTCTTTGGTCTCTCTCTTTGGTCTCTCTCTGTTCTCTCTCTCTGGTCTCTCTCTCTGTTCTCTCTCTGTGGTCTCTCTCTGTTCTCTCTCTCTGGTCTCTCTCCTTGGTCTCTCTCTCTGGTCTCTCTCTCTGGTCTCTCTCTCTGGTCTCTCTCTGGTCTCTTTCTTTGGTCACTCTCTTTGGTCTCTCTGTTCTCTCTCTCTTTGGTCTCTCTCTGTTCTCTCTCTCTGGTCTTTCTCTGGTCTCTCTCTGGCCTCTCTCTCTGGTCTTTCTCTCTGGTCTTTCTCTCTGGTCTCTCTCTCTGGTCTCTCTCTCTGGTCTTTCTCTCTGGTCTCTCTCTCTGGCCTCTCTCTGGCCTCTCTCTGGTCTCTCTCTCTGGCCTCTCTCTCTGGCCTCTTTCTCTGGTCTTTCTCTCTGGCCTCTCTCGCTGGTCTCTCTCGCTGGTCTCTCTCTCTGGTCTCTTTCTTCATAGTTATCCTGAGCGTTTGCGTCAGGGCTGGTGTGTCTCTGTCTCCGCGACCTTCACGATCCAACACCTACTTGTCTGAGACCTGTGCTCTGCATTCCAATGACCCAGAGGAGCCTGCGGGGGTCTGTCATTACGGCTCCATTAAAAACACCTTTCCACGGGTGTCACTGTGAAAGGTGTTTGCATTAGGGGGACCGCAGCGGCTACAAAGCAGCTAAATATCAGTTCAGGAAAGAACTGAAAGCAGCCAAGTCCCGGCACAGAGAACGACTACAGGAGCAGTTTGGTAACAACGATACTGCTTCTGTCTGGAGGGGCCTACGGGAGATCACCAACTACAGACCCAAAGCCCCCCCCTGTGCTGACGACCACAAGCTAGCTGACGAACTGAACTTATTTTTCAGTCGCTTTGATGCTGCCCCTGACACCTCTCCCTCCCCCACCCCCCACTACTCTAACGACCCACCCATCAGCCCTGCCCCCAGCCTGACAATAGCCTCGAAAGACATTAAACAACTCTTCTAGAGGCTGCACCCCCGCAAAGCTCCTGGCCCGGACCACGTGTCTCCGGCCACTCTGAGACACTGCCCCAGTGAGCTTACTCCTGTGTTCACGGACATCTTCAACACCTCTCTGCAGTCCTGCCATGTCCCGGCCTGCTTCAAATCCTCCATCATTGTCCCCGTCCCGAAGAAGCCCAGGATCACAGGACTCAACGACTACAGACCTGTAGCACTTACGTCTGTCGTCATGAAGTCATTTGAACGCCTGGTTCTCTCCCATCTCAAGTCCTTCACCTCCCCCCTCCTGGACCCCCTGCAGTTCACCTCCCCCTCCTGGACCCCCTGCAGTTCACCTCCCCCCTCCTGGACCCCCTGCAGTTCACCTCCCCCCTCCTGGACCCCCTGCAGTTCGCCTACAGAGCCAACAGATCTGTAGACGACGCCATTAACCTGGCCCTCCACCACATCCTACAGCACCTGGACTCCCCGGGGACCTACGCCAGGGTCCTGTTCGTGGACTTCAGCTCTGCCTTCAACACAATCCTGCCATCCCTGCTCCAGGACAAGCTCTCCCAGCTCAACGTGCCCGATTCCACCTGCAGGTGGATCACTGACTTCCTGACAGACAGGAAGCAGCAAGTGCGTCTGGGGAAGAATGTCTCAGACTCTCGGATTATAAATACAGGAGCCCCACAGGGCTGTGTTCTTTCTCCCCTGCTCTTCTCCCTGTACACCAACCACTGCACCTCCAGCCACGACTCCGTGAAGCTGATCAAGTTCGCAGACGACACCACCCTCATTGGACTCATCTCCAACAACGATGAGTCCGCCTACAGGAGGGAGGTGGACCGGCTGGTGTCCTGGTGTCTCCTACAGGAGGGAGGTGGACCGGCTGGTGTCCTGGTGTCTCCTACAGGAGGGAGGTGGACCGGCTGGTGTCCTGGTGTCTACTACAGGAGGGAGGTGGACCGGCTGGTGTCCTGGTGTCTCCTACAGGAGGGAGGTGGACCGGCTGGTGTCCTGGTGTCTCCTACAGGAGGGAGGTGGACCGGCTGGTGTCCTGGTGTCTCCTACAGGAGGGAGGTGGACCGGCTGGTGTCCTGGTGTCTCCTACAGGAGGGAGGTGGACCGGCTGGTGTCCTGGTGTCTCCTACAGGAGGGAGGTGGACCGGCTGGTGTCCTGGTGTCTCCTACAGGAGGGAGGTGGACCGGCTGGTGTCCTGGTGTCTCCTACAGGAGAGAGGTGGACCGGCTGGTGTCCTGGTGTCTCCTACAGGAGGGAGGTGGACCGGCTGGTGTCCTGGTGTCTCCTACAGGAGGTGGACCGGCTGGTGTCCTGGTGTCTCCTACAGGAGGGAGGTGGACCGGCTGGTGTCCTGGTGCAGTGGTAACAACCTGGAGCTGAACGCCCAGAAGACAGTGGAGATGATTGTGGACTTCAGGAAGAGCACTGTCCCCCCGCCCCCACGACTCCGTGATGGACTCCCCCATCACCTCTGTGGAGTCCTTCCGTTTCCTGGGCACCACCATCACCAGGACCTCAAGTGGGAGCCGACCATCAGCTCCTCATCAAGAAGGCCCAGCAGAGGATGTACTTCCTGCGGCAGCTCAGGAAAGCCAAGCTGCAGTTCTACACGGCCATCATCGAGTCCATCCTCACCTCCTCCATCACCTCCTCCATCACCTCCTCCATCTCCTCCATCACCTCCTCATCACCTCCTCCATCACCTCCTCCATCACCTCCTCCATCACCTCCTCCATCACCTCCTCCATCACCTCCTCCATCACCTCCTCCATCACCTCCTCCATCACCTCCTCCATCACCTCCTCCATCACCTCCTCATCACCTCCTCATCACCTCCTCATCACCTCCTCCATCACCTCCTCCATCACCTCCTCCATCACCTCCTCCATCACCTCCTCCATCACCGTGTGGTTTGCTGGAGCCACAGTCAGGGACAAACAGAGACTACAGCGCATTGTGCGCTCTGCAGAGGAAGTGATCGGCCGCAGCCTTCCATCGCTGCAGGACCTGTACGTCGCCCGAGCTCGAGGCCGGGCTGGTCGTATCACAGCCGACCCCTCTCACCTGCACATGGACTATTCCAACCACTCCCCTCTCACCTGCACATGGACTATTCCAACCACTCCCCTCTCACCCTGCACATGGACTATTCCAACCACTCCCCTCTCACCTGCACATGGACTATTCCAACCACTCCCCTTTCACCTGCACATGGACTATTCCAACCACTCCCCTCTCACCCTGCACATGGACTATTCCAACCACTCCCCTCTCACCTTGCACATGGACTATTCCAACCACTCCCCTCTCACCCTGCACATGGACTATTCCAACCACTCCCCTCTCACCTGCACATGGACTATTCCAACCACTCCCCTCTCACCTGCACATGGACTATTCCAACCACTCCCCTCTCACCTGCACATGGACTATTCCAACCACTCCCCTCTCACCTGCACATGGACTATTCCAACCACTCCCCTCTCACCTGCACATGGACTATTCCAACCACTCCCCTCTCACCTGCACATGGACTATTCCAACCACTCCCCTCAGGCAGGAGGCTGCGGTCCATCAGGACTAGAACCTCCCGCCACAAGAACAGTTTCTTCCCCTCTGCTGTTGGACTCTTGAACACTTCTTAACCTGTCCCCCCGCCCTTTATAAAGTCACTTTACTGCCCATCATACGTCACTTTACTTCACTGTACTGCTGTCACCTTACATTGTGTGCACCATGTGCACTTGTATATTATAAATAGTAACTGTAACTCTATTTTAAATTTACATTTATTTTTTATTCTTTATTTTTTATTATCTCTTTCTGACTGTTGCACTGAGCCAAAGCAATTTCCAATTTTAACAGACCTTCCTGTTACTTACGTGGCAATAAAAATTATTCTGATTCTGATTAAGACGAGGCAATTGGAAATTTAGAGGAATATGGGGCACGTGGAAGAGGGAGAGCGCTGACATTTGGAAGTGAGAGAGACCAGAGTGAGAGAGACCAGAGAGAGAGAGACCAGAGACCTTTCTCTGGTCTCTCCCTGGTCTCTCTCTGGTCTCTCTCTTGTCGCTCTCTGGTCTCTCCCTGGTCTCTCTCTGGTCTCTCTCTTGTCTCTCTCTGGTCTCTCTCTGGTCTTTCTCTAGTGTCTCTCTCTGGTCCTTCTCTAGTGTCTCTCTCTGGTCCCTCTCTCTGGTCTTTCTCTGGTCTCTCTCTAGTCTCTCCCTGGTCTCTCCCTGGTCTCTCTCTGGTCTCTCTCTGGTCCCTCTCTCTGGTCTCTCCCTGGTCTCTCTCTGGTCTCTCTCTCTGGTCTCTCTCTGGCCTCTCTCTCTGGTCTCTCTCTGGTCTCTCTCTGGTCTCTCTCTGGTCTCTCTCTGGCCTCTCTCTCTGGTCTCTCTCTCTGGTCTCTCTCTGGTCTCTCTCTGGCCTCTCTCTCTGGTCTCTCTCTGGTCTCTCTCTGGTCTCTCTCTGGCCTCTCTCTCTGGTCTCTCTCTCTGGTCTCTCTCTCTGGTCTCTCTCTGGCCTCTCTCTCTGGTCTCTCTCTGGTCTCTCTCTGGTCTCTCCCTGGTCTCTCTCTCTGGTCTCTCTCTGGTCTCTCTCTGGTCTCTCTCTGGTCTCTCCCTGGTCTCTCTCTGGTCTCTCTCTGGTCTCTCTCTAGTCTCTCCCTGGTCTCTCTCTGGTCTCTCTCTCGTCCCTCTCTCTGGTCTCTCCCTGGTCTCTCCCCGGTCTCTCTCTCTGGTCTCTCTCTCTGGTCTCTCTCTGGTCTCTCTCTGGCCTCTCTCTCTGGTCTCTCTCTGGCCTCTCTCTCTGGTCTCTCTCTCTGGTCTCTCCCCATGTTCAGTCCTGACTCTGGGACCAACCGATGCATTATAATTATTTCTAAGTATACGGCGCTACCATGTCTCTGATTCAGACCTGTGTGAAAGACCTGGAACACTCTGCTCTTGCGTTGGAGCAGTTTAAATCCGGCATAAGCCCCTCGCGCCGGCACAGGTGCAATCAGGCATTCCTATTCACGGCACAGGTTTCTCCAGGAGCCTTTAGCTACACCTGGTCCGCTCCACCTGGTCCACAACGGCTCCAGCTCGCCTCCTCCGCACACATAAGAGTTGAAGTGAGATTACGTGTTCACAGCTGCCCAAACCATTTCCCTTCAAAGGAAAACATTTGTGCCTTTTCTGGTTTTTCAGCAGAGACGGCGAGATCGAAAGTACGACTTAAAAATATATCAATCGTCCAACCTCCTGCTCCTGCCTTTTTATCTCAGTCCAATTTACTGATAGCTACTCATTTGACGACTGTGCTTTCAACCGTTTTGTACCGTTCAGAGAATGTTCCGCGGCTCTGCAAAAATAATGTGTTTAAATAACTGCAGCTATCGGCGTTTTTAAGTTCATCTCCGAGAATGTTGCTTTAATCTGTTTGAAGCAGGGTTTAGTGGAATGTGTTTCAGAGGCAAATATGACACATGGTTTAAACGGTAAACAGCCTCTTCAATACCTTTCTGCTCTCGGTATATCTTAGTTTGGGGCTCGAGGATGTCTTGCAGAAGAGAAGAGGCTGTAATCAGCAGCTCCTCTGACAGGATTAATGGTTTTAATGGGAATCAGACACAAAGAAAGACCTCCGACACGGATCCTAAAGAGCAGGAAGTTTGTTTATGAAGCAGAGAGGATCATTCAAACTCAAAGTCTCTCTGGTCTCTCTCTGGTCTCTCTCTGGTCTCTCTCTGGTCTCTTTCTGGTCTCTCTCTGGTCTCTTTCTGGTCTCTCTCTGGTCTCTCTCTGGTCTCTTTCTGGTCTCTCTCTGGTCTCGCTCTGGTCTCGCTTTGGTCTCGCTTTGGTCTCTCTCTCTGGTCTGTCTGGTCTCGCTCTGGTCTCTCTCTGGTCTCTCTCTCTGGTCTCTCTCTCTGGTCTTGCTCTGGTCTCTCTCTGCTCTGTCTCTGGTCTCTCTCTGGTCTCTCTCTCTGGTCTCTCTGGTCTGTCTCTCTGGTCTTGCTCTCTGGTCTCTCTCTGGTCTCTCTCTCTGGTCTCTCTCTGGTCTCGCTCTGGTCTCTCTCTGCTCTGTCTCTGCTCTGGTCTCTCTGGTCTCTCTCTGGTCTCTGTCTCTGGTCTCTCTCTCTGGTCTGTCTCTCTGGTCTTGCTCTCTGGTCTTGCTCTCTGGTCTCGCTCTGGTCTGTCTCTACTTTCTCTCTACTTTCTCTTTCTACTTTCTCTCTGGTCTCTCTCTGCTCTCTCTCTCTGTTGTAGTCTCTCTGATCTCCATCTAGTCTCTCTCTCTCTGGTCTTTCTTCGGTCTCTCTCTGGTCTCTCTCTCTGGTCTCTCTCTTGTCTCGCTCTGGTCTGTCTCTCTGGTCTCGCTCTGGTCTCTCTCTGGTCTCTCTCTCTGGTCTCTCTCTCTGGTCTCTCTCTCTGGTCTCGCTCTGGTCTGTCTCTGGTCTCGCTCTGGTCTCTCTCTGCTCTGTCTCTGCTCTGCTCTCTCTCTGGTCTCTCTCTGGTCTCTCTCTCTGGTCTCTCTCTCTGGTCTCTCTGGTCTCTCTCTCTGGTCTCTCTCTCTGGTCTCGCTCTGGTCTGTCTCTCTGGTCTCGCTCTGGTCTGTCTCTCACTCTGGTCTCTCTCTTGTCTCTCTCTGGTCTCTCTCTCTGTTCTCTCTCTACTTTCTCTCTGGTCTCTCTTTGGTCTCTCTCTGGTCTCTACTTTCTCTCTGGTCTCTCTCTAGTCTCTCTCTAGTCTCTGGTCTCTCTCTGGTCTCTCTCTGGTCTCCCTCTGGTCTCCCCTTGGTCTCCCTCTAGTCTCTCCCTCTCCTCCGGTGATGAGACACTTTCCTAAACCAGTTAAGTGCCACCTCTGAGGCCAACACCAGCGTTTCTGTTTTTACTTCTGCAGCTGAGATTGTTGTTTTCGCACTTGTTCAGTCTCTCGCACAATAAAAAACCTCTCATGATTTTGACAATGGCCAATTTAAAACCTGAAAGCATCGTCTTCAGAAATGTGAGTCCATGTCCCTGGGTCTGGATCCGTGTGTTCCAGCACAGAGCGGCCCTTTTAGGTAAAAATTTGTTCTTTGTTAAAAATCCCACATTAGCATCATCTCCAAACGGACTCTTTGATCTGATTGTCAATGTGTTTTCTGTTTTCTGTTTTCTGGTGCTTCGTCTGAAATGTTCTATACCAGACGTGTCAATTATTTTTGCACAGCCCTAAATCACCACAGTATTATTGGAGGACTGTGCAAAGTTGTCAGTTCGCCAACGCAGATCAGAGAATCATCTGTGATATACTTTGTTTACAGAGTTGGGCAAGTTACTTCAAAAACGTTTTATATACAGTATATATAAACCGGGGTCACTGGGTAATCCTGGTTCTGGCCTGTCTCACCGGGAGGAGACCAGGAGGAGACCGGGACACTGAGGGACTGTCTCTGGGAACGCCTCAGGATTCCCCCAGAGGAGCTGCAGGAAGCCGCCCTCATGACCCGGATTAAGTGGAAGAAATGGACAGATGTATTCTTGGCCGTCATACTTCCACAGTTCAGGCCTTTGTGTTTTGGGCTCTACATTTCCCCAGCTCTGGAGAACACTCTCTCACTTGGCTCAGATTCTTCTCATGGTCTGAGGAGAGGCTTTTAGTCATTTTGGCCAGTTCTGTTGAACAAATGCAGCGTTTTACCTGCATGAAATTAAATTGTTATTGTGGCTAAAGCGTGAAACAGTTTCCTCATTTGCTGTTAACGTGTCAAAAAAAGCAGGATATTCTCTCTTTTGTGGCAGGCTCCATTTTAATGATGAAGGTTATGTTCTTTTTCTGACAGCGATTCATCTCGACACGTGCAGAAGCGGCCCCTTTTCAACACAGTCTGCTGCTTCTGTCACCAGAAAATCTGGAGCATTATCAGGCTTTTTGTGGTCCTCTCTGTGGTCCCCTCAGTTGTCCTCTCTGTGGTCCCCTCAGTGGTCCTCTCTGTGGTCCTCTCTGTGGTCCCCTCAGTGGTCCTCTCAGTGGTCCTCTCAGTGGTCCTCTCAGTGGTCCTCTCAGTGGTCCCCTCAGTGGTCCCCTCAGTGGTCCTCTCAGTGGTCCCCTCAGTGGTCCTCTCAGTGGTCCTCTCAGTGGTCCTCTCAGTGGTCCTCTCAGTGGTCCTCTCAGTGGTCCTCTGTGGTCCTCTCTGTGGTCCTCTCAGTGGTCCCCTCAGTGGTCCCCTCTGGTCCCCTCAGTGGTCCTCTCAGTGGTCCCCTCAGTGGTCCCCTCAGTGGTCCTCTCAGTGGTCCTCTCAGTGGTCCCCTCAGTGGTCCCCTCAGTGGTCCTCTGTGGTCCTCTCTGTAGTCCTCTCTGTAGTCCTCTCAGTGGTCCCCTCAGTGGTCCTCTGTGGTCCTCTCTGTAGTCCTCTCTGTAGTCCTCTCAGTGGTCCCCTCAGTGGTCCTCTCTGTAGTCCTCTCAGTGGTCCCCTCAGTGGTCCCCTCAGTGGTCCTCTCAGTGGTCCTCTCTGTGGTCCTCTCTGTAGTCCTCTCTGTGATCCTCTCTGTAGTCCTCTCAGTGGTCCTCTCAGTGGTCCCCTCAGTGGTCCTCTCAGTGGTCCTCTCTGTGGTCCTCTCTGTGGTCCCCTCAGTGGTCCTCTCTGTAGTCCTCTCAGTGGTCCCCTCAGTGGTCCTCTTAGTGGTCCTCTCAGTGGTTCTCTCTGTGGTTCTCTCTGTGGTCCTCTCTGTGGTCCTCTCTGTAGTCCTCTCAGTGGTCCCCTCAGTGGTCCCCTCAGTGGTCCTCTTAGTGGTCCTCTCAGTGGTCCTCTCTGTGGTCCTCTCAGTGGTCCTCTCAGTGGTCCTCTCAGTGGTCCTCTCAGTGGTCCTCTCAGTGGTCCTCTGTGGTCCTCTCTGTAGTCCTCTCAGTGGTCCCCTCAGTGGTCCCCTCTGGTCCCCTCAGTGGTCCTCTCAGTGGTCCCCTCAGTGGTCCCCTCAGTGGTCCTCTCAGTGGTCCTCTCAGTGGTCCCCTCAGTGGTCCCCTCAGTGGTCCTCTGTGGTCCTCTCTGTAGTCCTCTCTGTAGTCCTCTCAGTGGTCCCCTCAGTGGTCCTCTCTGTAGTCCTCTCAGTGGTCCCCTCAGTGGTCCCCTCAGTGGTCCTCTCAGTGGTCCTCTCTGTGGTCCTCTCTGTAGTCCTCTCTGTGATCCTCTCTGTAGTCCTCTCAGTGGTCCTCTCAGTGGTCCCCTCAGTGGTCCTCTCAGTGGTCCTCTCTGTGGTCCTCTCTGTAGTCCTCTCAGTGGTCCCCTCAGTGGTCCTCTCAGTGGTCCTCTCTGTGGTCCTCTCTGTGGTCCCCTCAGTGGTCCTCTCTGTAGTCCTCTCAGTGGTCCCCTCAGTGGTCCTCTTAGTGGTCCTCTCAGTGGTTCTCTCTGTGGTTCTCTCTGTGGTCCTCTCTGTGGTCCTCTCTGTGGTCCTCTCTGTGGTCCTCTCTGTAGTCCTCTCAGTGGTCCCCTCAGTGGTCCCCTCAGTGGTCCTCTTAGTGGTCCTCTCAGTGGTCCTCTCTGTAGTCCTCTCTGTAGTCCTCTCAGTGGTCCTCTTAGTGGTCCGCTCTGTGGTCCCCTCAGTGGTCCTCTCTGTAGTCCTCTCAGTGGTCCCCTCAGTGGTCCCCTCAGTGGTCCTCTTAGTGGTCCTCTCAGTGGTCCCCTCTGTGGTTTTCTCTGTGGTTTTCTCTGTGGTCCTCTCTGTGGTCCTCTCTGTAGTCCTCTCTGTAGTCCTCTCTGTGGTCCTCTCTGTGGTCCTCTCAGTGGTCCCCTCAGTAGTCCTCTCTGTGGTCCTCTCTGTGGTCCTCTCTGTAGTCCTGTCAGTGGTCCCCTCAGTGGTCCTCTTAGTGGTCCCCTCAGTGGTCCTCTTAGTGGTCCTCTCAGTGGTCCTCTCTGTGGTTCTCTCTGTGGTCCTCTCTGTGGTCCTCTCTGTAGTCCTCTCTGTAGTCCTCTCTGTAGTCCTCTCAGTGGTCCTCTCAGTGGTCCCCTCAGTGGTCCTCTCAGTGGTCCTCTCTGTGGTCCTCTCTGTAGTCCCCTCAGTGGTCCTCTCTGTAGTCCTCTCTGTAGTCCTCTCTGTAGTCCTCTCAGTGGTCCCCTCAGTGGTCCTCTCAGTGGTCCTCTTAGTGGTCCTCTCTGTGGTCCCCTCAGTGGTCCTCTCTGTAGTCCTCTCAGTGGTCCCCTCAGTGGTCCCCTCAGTGGTCCTCTCAGTGGTCCTCTCAGTGGTCCTCTCTGTGGTTTTCTCTGTGGTCCTCTCTGTAGTCCTCTCTGTGGTCCTCTCTGTGGTCCTCTCAGTGGTCCTCTCAGTGGTCCCCTCAGTGGTCCTCTCTGTGGTCCTCTCTGTGGTCCTCTCTGTAGTCCTCTCAGTGGTCCCCTCAGTGGTCCTCTCAGTGGTCCTCTCAGTGGTCCTCTGTGGTCCTCTCTGTGGTCCTCTCTGTGGTCCTCTGTGGTCCTCTCTGTGGTCCTCTCAGTGGTCCCCTCAGTGGTCCCCTCAGTGGTCCTCTCTGTAGTCCTCTCAGTGGTCCCCTCAGTGGTCCTATTAGTGGTCCTCTCTGTGGTTCTCTCTGTGGTTCTCTCTGTGGTCCTCTCTGTGGTCCTCTCTGTAGTCCTCTCTGTAGTCCTCTCTGTGGTCCTCTCTGTGGTCCTCTCTGTGGTCCTCTCAGTGGTCCCCTCAGTGGTCCTCTCTGTGGTCCTCTCTGTGGTCCTCTCTGTGGTCCTCTCTGTAGTCCTCTCAGTGGTCCCCTCAGTGGTCCTCTCAGTGGTCCTCTCAGTGGTCCCCTCAGTGGTCCTCTCAGTGGTCCTCTCAGTGGTCCTCTCAGTGGTCCTCTCTGTGGTCCTCTCTGTAGTCCTCTCAGTGGTCCTCTGTGGTCCTCTGTGGTCTTCTCAGTGGTCCCCTCAGTGGTCCTCTCTGTAGTCCTCTCAGTGGTCCCCTCAGTGGTCCTCTCAGTGGTCCTCTCAGTGGTCCTCTCAGTGGTCCTCTCTGTAGTCCTCTCAGTGGTCCTCTGTGGTCCTCTCTGTGGTCCTCTCTGTGGTCCTCTCTGTAGTCCTCTCTGTAGTCCTCTCAGTGGTCCTCTGTGGTCCTCTCTGTGGTCCTCTCTTTGGTCCTCTCTGTGGTCCTCTCTTTGGTCCTCTCTGTGGTCCTCTCTGTAGTCCTCTCAGTGGTCCCCTCTGTGGTCCTCTCAGTGGTCCCCTCAGTGGTCCTCTCAGTGGTCCTCTCTGTAGTCCTCTCTGTAGTCCTCTCAGTGGTCCTCTCTGTGGTCCTCTCTGTGATCCTCTCAGTGGTCCCCTCTGTGGTCCTCTCAGTGGTCCCCTCAGTGGTCCTCTCTGTGGTCCTCTCTGTAGTCCTCTCAGTGGTCCTCTCTGTGGTCCTCTCTGTGGTCCTCTCTGTGGTCCTCTCTGTGATCCTCTCTGTGATCCTCTCTGTGATCCTCTCTGTGGTCCTCTCTGTGGTCCTCTCTGTAGTCCTCTCTGTAGTCCTCTCAGTGGTCCCCTCAGTGGTCCTCTCTGTAGTCCTCTCAGTGGTCCTCTCAGTGGTCCTCTCAGTGGTCCTCTCAGTGGTCCTCTCAGTGGTCCTCTCTGTGGTCCTCTCTGTGGTCCTCTCTGTAGTCCTCTCTGTAGTCCTCTCAGTGGTCCTCTCAGTGGTATTCTCAGTGGTCCTCTCTGTGGTCCTCTCTGTGGTCCCCTCAGTGGTCCCCTCAGTGGTCCTCTCAGTGGTCCTCTCAGTGGTCCTCTCAGTGGTCCTCTCAATGGTCCTCTCTGTAGTCCTCTCTGTGGTCCTCTCTGTAGTCCTCTCTGTAGTCCTCTCAGTGGTCCTCTCTGTGGTCCTCTCTGTGGTCCTCTCTGTAGTCCTCTCTGTAGTCCTCTCAGTGGTCCTCTCAGTGGTCCTCTCTGTAGTCCTCTCAGTGGTCCTCTCTGTGGTCCTCTCTGTGGTCCTCTCTGTAGTCCTCTCTGTAGTCCTCTCAGTGGTCCTCTCAGTGGTCCTCTCTGTGGTCCTCTCTGTGATCCTCTCTGTGATCCTCTCTGTGATCCTCTCTGTGGTCCTCTCTGTGGTCCCCTCAGTGGTCCTCTCAGTGGTCCTCTCTGTGGTCCTCTCTGTGGTCCTCTCTGTAGTCCTCTCTGTAGTCCTCTCAGTGGTCCTCTCAGTGGTCCTCTCTGTGGTCCTCTCTGTGGTCCTCTCTGTGATCCTCTCTGTGATCCTCTCTGTGATCCTCTCTGTGGTCCTCTCTGTGGTCCCCTCAGTGGTCCTCTCAGTGGTCCTCTCAGTGGTCCTCTCCCTCGGACCTCATCATCCCTCCATTTATCGTACGTCTTGATGTTGTTGTTCGCTGTTTCCAGTTGTGGTTGCTAGGCTAATGCTGCTAAGCTAATGCTGCTAGGCTAAGGCTGCTAGGCTAATGCTGCTAGGCTAAGGCTGCTAGGCTAAGGCTGCTAAGCTAATGCTGCTAGGCTAATGCTGCTAGGCTAAGGCTGCTAAGCTAATGCTGCTAGGCTAATGATGCTAGGCTGATGCTGCTAGGCTGATGCTGCTAGGCTAATGGTGCTAGGCTAATGCTACTGGATTTTAAAAATCCAGTTGTTTTAGTGCTTTCTGCTGGCATCAGAGCCTGTGCCAGCTTCAGTGCCGGGTTAACCCCAAACCCCACCAGGAGCAGTTCAGGGCCGAACAGAGTACCTAGCATGGAGGAGGGACTCCGTTGGTTCCCGTAAATGTTCCTATAAATGGCCCTGTGGGGGAGGCTGCTGTAGGGAGGCTCCTGTGGGGGAGGCTCCTGTAGTGGAGGCTCCTGTGGGGGAGGCTCCTGTAGTGGAGGCTCCTGTGGGGGAGGCTCCTGTAGTGGAGGCTCCTGTGGGGGAGGCTCCTGTAGTGGAGGCTCCTGTGGGGGAGGCTCCTGTAGTGGAGGCTCCTGTGGGGGAGGCTCCTGTAGTGGAGGCTCCTGTGGGGGAGGCTCCTGTAGTGGAGGCTCCTGTGGGGGAGGCTCCTGTAGTGGAGGCTCCTGTGGGGGAGGCTCCTGTAGTGGAGGCTCCTGTGGGGGAGGCTCCTGTAGTGGAGGCTCCTGTGGGGGAGGCTCCTGTAGTGGAGGCTCCTGTGGGGGAGGCTCCTGTAGTGGAGGCTCCTGTAGTGGAGGCTCCTGTGGGGGAGGCTCCTGTAGTGGAGGCTCCTGTGGGGGAGGCTCCTGTAGTGGAGGCTCCTGTGGGGGAGGCTCCTGTAGTGGAGGCTCCTGTAGTGGAGGCTCCTGTGGGGGAGGCTCCTGTGGGGGAGGCTCCTGTGGGGGAGGCTCCTGTAGTGGAGGCTCCTGTGGGGGAGGCTCCTGTAGTGGAGGCTCCTGTGGGGGAGGCTCTTGTAGTGGAGGCTCCTGTGGGGGAGGCTCCTGTAGTGGAGGCTCCTGTGGGGGAGGCTCCTGTGGGGGAGGCTCCTGTAGTGGAGGCTCCTGTGGGGGAGGCTCCTGTAGTGGAGGCTCCTGTGGGGGAGGCTCCTGTGGGGGAGGCTCCTGTGGGGGAGGCTCCTGTGGGGGAGGCTCCTGTAGTGGAGGCTCCTGTGGGGGAGGCTCCTGTGGGGGAGGCTCCTGTGGGGGAGGCTCCTGTGGGGGAGGCTCCTGTAGTGGAGGCTCCTGTAGTGGAGGCTCCTGTAGTGGAGGCTCCTGTAGTGGAGGCTCCTGTAGTGGAGGCTCCTGTAGTGGAGGCTCCTGTAGTGGAGGCTCCTGTGGGGGAGGCTCCTGTAGTGGAGGCTCCTGTAGTGGAGGCTCCTGTGGGGGAGGCTCCTGTGGGGGAGGCTCCTGTGGGGGAGGCTCCTGTGGGGGAGGCTCCTGTAGAGGAGACACGCACCGACGGGGCTGGCCCTTAAAAATTACCCCAAAGTTCTTGCGACGGAAACGCAACTTTGGCCCTACTTTCACCTGCCTTTCTCTACTCTACCCTACCCTACTCTACACCTACCCTACCCTACTCTACACCTACTCTACACCTACCCTACACCTATCCTACACCTTCCCTACAAATACTCTACCCTACCCTACACCTACACCTACTCTACACCTACTCTATACCTACTCTACCCTATCCTACCCTACCACCTACTCTACCCTACCCTACACCTACTCTACACCTACTCTACCCTATCCTACCCTACCACCTACTCTACCCTACACCTACTCTACACCTACTCTACCCTAGCCTACCCTACACCTACTCTACCCTACACCTACTCTACCCTACACCTACCCTACACCTACCCCTACCCCACACCTACTCTACCCTACTCCTACTCTACCCTACACCTACTCTACACCTACCCTACCCTACACCTACTCTACACCTACCCTACACCTACTCTACCCTACACCTACTCTACACCTACCCTACACCTACTCTACCTTACACCTACTCTACACCTACCCTACACTTATCCTACCCTACACCTACTCTACACTACACCTACTCTACACCTACTCTACTCTACCCTACCCTACCCTACACCTACTCTACCCTACCCTACACCTACTCTACCTTACACCTACTCTACACCTACCCTACACTTATCCTACCCTACACCTACTCTACACTACACCTACTCTACACCTACTCTACTCTACCCTACCCTACCCTACACCTACTCTACCCTACCCTACACCTACACCTACCCTACTCTACACCTACTCTACACCTACCCTACCCTACACCTACTCTACCCTACACCTACCCTACTCTACACCTACTCTACCCTACCCTACCCTACACCTACCCTACTCTACACCTACCCTATACCTACTCTACCCTACACCTACTCTACACCTACTCTACTCTACACCTACCCTACACCTACTCTACACCTACCCTATACCTACTCTACCCTACACCTACTCTACACCTACTCTACCCTACACCTACTCTACACCTACTCTACCCTACACCTACTCTACCCTACACCTGATCTACACCTACCCTACACCTACTCTACCCTACCTCTACACCTACTCTACCCTACACCTACTCTACACCTACCCTATACCTACTCTACTCTACACCTACTCTACCCTACATCTACCCTACCCTACACCTACTCTACCCTACCCTACACCTACTCTACCCCTACCCTACACCTATTCTATCCTACACCTACTCTACTCTACTCTACACTTACTCTACTCTACCCTACACCTACTCTACACCTACCCCACACCTACTCTACACCTACTCTACCCTACACATACTTTACTCTACCCTACACCTACTGTACACCTACCCTACACCTACTCTACCCTACCCTACACCTACTCTACCCTACACCTACTCTACCTTACCCTACACCTACTCTACCCTACCCTACACCTATCCTACACCTTCCCTACAAATACTCTACCCTGAACCTACACCTACTCTATCCTATCCTACCCTACCACCTACTCTACCCTACCCTACACCTACTCTACCCTACACCTACTCTACTCTACCCTACACCTACTCTACTCTACACTACACCTACCCTACACCTACTGTACCCAACACCTACCCTACACCTACTCTACCCCTACCCTACACCTACTCTACACCTACTCTACCCTACACCTACCCTACCCTACACCTACTCTACACCTACCCTACCCTACATCTACTCTACACCTACTCTACCCTACACCTACTCTACCCCTACCCTACACCTACTCTACCCTACCCTACACCTACTCTACTCTACGCCTACTCTACCCTACCCTACACCTACTCTACTCTACACCTACTCTACCCTATACCTACTCTACCCTACAACTACTCTACTCTACACCTACCCTACACCTACTCTACACCTTCTCTACTCTACACCTACTCTACCCTATCTTACCCTACACCTACTCTACCCTACCCTACAACTACTCTACACCTACTCTACCCTATCCTACCTTACACCAACTCTACCCTACCCTACACCAACCCTACACCAACCCTCCTCACCCACGAGTGAAGCTAAGTACATAGATACTTAGGGATACGTTTGCTATGACAATAATTAATATCTTGTGTAGCTGGCGTAACTGAATTTGAATCATGGTTTTACTGTTGAAGCAAAAATAACCATATAAGAAAACTCCAAAGTCTGAACTTCAATAGCTCCATCGCCCTGTGACTTCTACCAATCCCCAACTTGAATGCAGAGAACAAAGACCCGCACACATGGACTTCTGGGTAATCTGAGGGGGAGGCTGGCGGTCACCATGCAGAGTTGCGGGCGTGAGAAGTGGACACGGCGAGAGAATAAGTGAAGCAGGATTCAGGCTCAGCAGCAGGAGGCCGAGCTCTCGCCGAGATCTGGAGGTCACAGTGCAGTGTCCGCGGGGTGTGTGGCTGCATTCTGAGTCTCTGCTCAATGGAAAATGGAAGAGGAAGCGCGGTGTAAACAAGGTCTCGGATAAAAGTGGTTTTAAAGTGAGAGATGGCGTCGGTTTTTATTCCTGTTTGGGTATTTCGGCTTTGTTTCAACCGTTTAAGACCCAGGACTGAGGCTGTAGACCCAGGACCGAGGCTGTAGACCCAGGACCGAGGCTGTAGACCCAGGACCGAGGCTGTAGACCCAGGACCGAGGCTGTAGACCCAGGACCGAGGCTGTAGACCCAGGACCGAGGCTGTAGACCCAGGACCGAGGCTGTAGACCCAGGACCGAGGCTGTAGACCCAGGACCGAGGCTGTAGACCCAGGACCGAGGCTGTAGACCCAGGACCGAGGCTGTAGACCCGGGACCGAGGCTGTAGACCCGGGACCGAGGCTGTAGACCCGGGACCGAGGCTTTGAGAAAGCTCTTGGTTCAACCCTTTTTAAAATTCTAAAAAGAAACCGCTGATTTTCACTTGTCCCTAAACGCTTGGAATCTTCAAATACTCAACAACATTTACACATTTAACAAATTTGTGTTTGTCAGTCGCCATCCGCCCAAGTTTCACAAGTGTTTGTAAAACTTGTCCAATTTCATTTCCCAAAACGTCCCTAAAGTTTAGCTAAAACAATGTTCCATCACCACAGCCAGGCATTAGCTTCTGCTCCCTTTTCTGTTCTGTTTACTTTTCCCCTAAGTCCTCCACACATAATTTAGCTTGTCACCAGTAGAAAAACCAATCCTGCTTCTGTCTCGTAAGCCAAGTGTGTTTTTGGCGCTGGAAAAGAGCAGCTTGTAAAAAGGGAGAGGTGTCTGCGTGAGTGACGGTGGCAGCATCGGGCTGTGGATGGGAGAGGGACGGGTTGATTAATGTCTTGTCCGCATTGGCAGCTGTCTGGAAGCGGGAACGGACTGAGCTCAGCAAGACGGCCCTGAATCTCAATATGGCTCAGCGCTGGTCCGTCTGAAGTGAGAGGCGCCTTTGTGGTTTAAGTAATTGCTGACGCTGATATGGCTTTACACAACCGTTGATTTCGCCAACACAGACCAGAGAACCGCTGTTCAAACACAAGAGATAAAACTGAAAACTCATTGGTATTGGTTCAGAAAAGTGTCTATTAGTGCAGATACAGTGCATTGCCAATAACAAGTGCCAACAACAAGTGGGACACAATCGTGAAGTGGAACGAAATTTATTGGATAATTTAAACTTTTTTAACAAATAAAAAACTGAAAATTGGGGCGTGCAATATTATTCGGCCCCTTTACTTTCAGTGCAGCAAACTCAGTCCAGAAGTTCAGTGAGGATCTTTGAATGATCCAATGTTGTCCTAAATGACTGATGATGATAAATAGAATGCACCTCTGTGTAATCAAGTCTCCGTATAAATGCACCTGCTCTTTGATAGTCTCAGGGTTCTGTTTAAAGCACAGAGAGAACCATGAAGACAAAGGAACACACCAGGCAGGTCCGAGATACTGTTGTGGAGAAGTTTAAAGCTGGATTTGGATACAAAAAGATTTCCCAAGCTTTAAACATCTCAAGGAGCACTGTGCAAGCAGTTATATTGAAATGGAAGGAGTATCAGACCACTGCAAATCTACCAAGACCCGGCCGTCCCTCCAAACTTTCATCTCAAACAAGGAGAAGACTGATCAGAGATGCAGCCAAGAGGCCCATGTTCACTCTGGATGAACTGCAGATAACTACAGCTGAGGTGGGAGAGTCTGTCCATAGGACAACAATCAGTCGTGCACTGCACAAATCTGGCCTTTATGGAAGAGTGGCAAGAAGAAAGCCATTTCTCAAAGATATCCATAAAAAGTCTGGTTTAAAGTTTGCCACAAGCCACCTGGGAGACACACCAAACATGTGGAAGAAGGTGCTCTGGTCAGATGAAACCAAAATCGAACTTTTTGGCCACAATGCACAACGATATGTTTGGCGTAAAAGCAACACAGCTCATCACCCTGAACACACCATCCCCACTGTCAAACATGGTGGTGGCAGCATCATGGTTTGGGCCTGCTTTTCTTCAGCAGGGACAGGGAAGATGGCTAAAATTGATGGGAAGATGGATGGAGCCAAATACAGGACCATTCTGGAAGAAAACCTGTTGGAGTCTGCAAAAGACCTGAGACTGGGACGGACATTTATCTTCCAACAGGACAATGATCCAAAACATAAAGCCAAATCTACAATGGAATGGTTCACAAATAGACGTATCCAGGTGTTAGAATGGCCAAGTCAAAGTCCAGACCTGAATCCAATCCAGAATCTGTGGAAAGAGCTGAAGACTGCTGTTCACAAACGCTCTCCATCCAACCTCACTGAGCTCCAGCTGTTTTGCAAGGAAGAATGGGCAAGAATTCCAGTCTCTCGATGTGCAAAACTGATAGAGACATACCCCAAGCGACTTGCAGCTGTAATTGCAGCAAAAGGTGGCGCTACAAAGTATTAGGGCAAGGGGGCCGAATAATATTGCACGCCCCACTTTTCAGTTTATTTGTTAAAAAAGTTTAAATTATCCAATAAATTTAGTTCCACTTCACGATTGTGTCCCACTTGTTGATTCTTGACAAAAACTATTTTTTTTTTTATATCTTTATGTTTGAAGCCTGAAATGTGGCGAAATGTTCAAGGGGGCCGAATACTTTTGCAAGGCACTGTAAATGTCCATAAATGTAGCCAGGTGATAGTCTCCCCCTGTATCGTCTTAACCCTCCTGCTTCAGTGGAGGTCAGCCCGGTCCTCTCGCTGCTTCCTCGTTCCGTCTGTGTGACTTTGCCGCAGGCCGTCTCGTCGCTGGTTTGGTCGGTCGCCAGCTCCTAATCACAATATGCTCATATCTGGAACGCTCTCAAAATAGCCTGTTATTTTTAGTCCCTGGTGAATTCCACTTTCCCTTCATCTTTGCAGAGTCCCAGTCCCTGGCGTCAAATTATTGTTTGTTCTTCTCTCCAGCCCGCAGCCACGCCATATGGCTCTAGAGGAATCAAAAAGCTGTGGATTGCATTACTCTCTCCCCGAGCTCATAACTCGCTTTCTTCCTCCTAAAACACGTCACAATATTGCAGGATCTGTTCACAGTTTTCATTTGTCTATTTGTTTGTTTTTGACACATCGATCCAGGACTTAGACAGTGCCTCTGTGTGAGACTGGGCCAGACCTAAATCCAACAAAATCAGATGAAAGGCCTGGAAACTGCTGTTCGTATACGCTCTCTGTCTAATTTGGCAGAGCTAGAGTTGTTTTGTAAAGAGGAATGGGCTAAACTTTCTGTCTCTCGATGGGCAAATCTTGTAGAGTCATGTTACAATCCTAGTAAGCGCAGATAGTCCGAGCGTAGATAGTCCGAGCGCAGATAGTCCGAGCGCAGATAGTCCGAGCGCAGATAGTCCGAGCGCAGATAGTCCGAGCGTAGATAGTCCCAGCGTAGATAGTCCGAGCGTAGATAGTCCCAGCGTAGATAGTCCGAGCGCAGATAGTCCGAGCGCAGATAGTCCGAGCGCAGATAGTCCGAGCGCAGATAGTCCGAGCGTAGATAGTCCGAGCGTAGATAGTCCCAGCGTAGATAGTCCGAGCGTAGATAGTCCGAGCGTAGATAGTGCCAGCGTAGATAGTCCGAGCGTAGATAGTCCCAGCGCAGATAGTCCGAGCGCAGATAGTCCGAGCGCAGATAGTCCGAGCGCAGATAGTCCGAGCGTAGATAGTCCCAGCGTAGATAGTCCGAGCGTAGATAGTCCGAGCGCAGATAGTCCCAGCGTAGATAGTCCGAGCGTAGATAGTCCGAGCGTAGATAGTCCCAGCGTAGATAGTCCGAGCGTAGATAGTCCCAGCGCAGATAGTCCCAGCGCAGATAGTCCGAGCGCAGATAGTCCGAGCGCAGATAGTCCGAGCGCAGATAGTCCGAGCGTAGATAGTCCCAGCGTAGATAGTCCGAGCGTAGATAGTCCGAGCGCAGATAGTCCGAGCGCAGATAGTCCGAGCGCAGATAGTCCG